ACACATGATGAACGCTGAGATCAGTACAGTACAGATCACACATGATGAATGCTGAGATCAGTACAGATCACACACAGTGACAGTGCTGACTCCTGTTCTCCTCACCTGAGCTCTTCCTCCTGCGCACCAGGACCACAGCCACAACAGCGATCACAGCCAGGGCCACAACAGCACAGACAGCGGCGATGATCGGCACCAGGCTGGAACTGGGGGGCTCTGCGATGGAGACACAGCCAGCCTGAGTCACTCTGACAGGTGTAGGACACACGCTGAGGCCACGGGTCCGAGCTGCTGGTGACCAGGAGTCTAACCAGTACTCCCACCCCTCACAGCCCGCTGTCCCCAGTGTCTCTGTACCCCACACTGCCCGCTGTCCCCAGTGTCTCTACTGACCCCCCACCTCACACAGCCCGCTGTCCCCAGTGTCTCTACTGACCCCCCACCCCACACAGCCCACTGTCCCCAGTGTCTCTGGACTGTACCCCACACAGCCCGCTGTCCCCAGTGTCTCTGGACTGTACCCCACACAGCCCGCCATCCCCAGTGTCTCTGGACTGTACCCCACACGGCCCGCCGTCCCCAGTGTCTCTGGACTGTACCCCACGCCCCTGAACACGCCTCCCTCCCTCTGTACCCCACACCCCTGAACACGCCTCCCTCCCTCTGTACCCCACACCCCTGAACACACCTCCTTCCCTCTGTGCCCCACGCCCCTGAACTCACCCCAGGGCATGAGGATATCTCCTGGACTCAGGCTCTTGTGATCCACTCTGCAGGAGTACTTGTCCTCCTCTCCTGCTCTCACTCTCAGACTCTTCCTGACCTGGAAGCTCCCGTCTCCGTTGGGCAGCACCTCCCCACTGTCCACATCCTCCTGCAGCTCCTGTCCGTCTCTCAGCCAGGACACCAGGATGTCTCTGGGGAAGAAGCCCGTGGCCAGGCAGGTGAGCTCAGTACCGCCAGATCTGGAGTCCTTGTGGAACACAGACACCTGGGGGCGCTCTGGAGAGAGAGAGA